TAGGTGTTTATGCCAGCATTATTATACTGTATTCATGAAGGTCATAGATATCATCATTAGTTCATCATCATCTTTGCAGTTTGCTCTAAGAGACATCTAAGCTGGTTGTTTTTGCATAAAGAGGTAAAGAACATGGAGGAACAGTTTAATAGAAAGGCAGTGCAATACTATCAAGTAAAAAAAACTCTGAAGCAGTCATGAGGGAAGCTAAAACGCCTATATCTGAGGAGTCTGTCAGCTGTCAGATTTTACTTCTGACGTCTTATTTGCTAGTTACATTAAACCTTGTTCTATTTATGTTGTATAATGCTTAACTGATTCTTTCTGAAGGAAGGGATATGTTCTCTCAGTACAACTGCTTGTATGCAGTGCAGCTCTTTCATCTTTTCAAAAGACTTGTTAAATTAAGCATGTGTCTGCTATTGCTGAATGGGAGGGAGTACTGTCAAGCTGTTAGTGCATGGAACTGAAAATAACCAGATCTAAACTGTATTCATTGTCCTATTCTTGAGAAAAAACAAAATAAATACCATCCACCACCCACATGAAGAGTGATGGATGTTAACTCCCTCAACCATATACGATGGATGGGAGAGAGCTGCATTTCAGATTGCAATTTTGTGTTCTAATGACATCATTCATGTATTCCAAACATTTATGGAGATCCTTCAGTAAAAAGGAAGAAATTAAAATTTAGTCTTTCTAATGTTTGAAAGAAAAAAAAATGTACATATACAGGTGCACATGCAAGGGGGAAAAACTGCTGAAGTTGTCCTTACCCATCATGTAGCAGTAGCAATAGAGCTCTGAAAATTCAAATTTTTACTGAAACTGTTGCTAGCATAGTTATCATCAAAATAACAGAATGCCTACACGAAGTTGGGCATCAAGAATAGGCTGTGGATCTAAGTTCCCTCTAAACTACATGGCTGCGTGGCTGTGTAGCTGCCTATTAAGCTCCGCGCAGGGGCTCAGGGCTGCGGCGGGGAGAGATGAGTCTCTCCAACACCCAGACTTGCCACAGCGGGGAGAGGCGCCTCTCCCTACCGGCCCCAGCACGGACCTGCCCCGGACATGCTGCAGCTGGGAGGGGCGCCCCAGGACCGGCCCGAACCCAGGCCCAGCACAGACCTGCCGTGGCTGAGAAAGAGGCACATCTCCCCCCAGCCCAGGTCCTGCTGCGGGGATAGAGAGCTGGGTGTGGAAGGGAAGGAATGCGCCTCACATAACAAAATTCATTCTGCACATGCATGGGAAAAATTAGAGGGAACACTGCTGTGGATTGATCAGGAATAGGTTATGTATATTTAATAAAAATCTATAAGTAATCTACATAAAATTCTGTTTAACTATACATATCTCCTCTACCCTTCAAATCACTTACCTTCTTCGTGTCTTTGAAAATCTCCAAAGGGCACTGGAGTGTCCAGCTCCCACTCAAAGTATGGGAGTTGAACACTTAAATCACCTGGGACTGTTTCGTCCTGTGTAGAGACAATACTGAGCACATTCTAGGTGCTACTACAAACAGAAAAGGGGGCTAATACTTACCTACTTCAGTGAAGTTCTGTAGGGATTAAATTAATGACTGTTTCTAATGCGCGATCCTAGATTCTTGGATCAAAAGGTATTATAGAAGTTCAAAGTATTGTTAACTGCACCACTGATTTTTTTCAGATGAAAAACTATTCTATTGAAAAAGAAACAGTAACTTATTTGTTAAGTGTCAATAGCGTGCTTAGCACTTTATTACAAAAATCAAAATAAAACAAACCCCAGATTACATTGTCCGTGCCTGATTAAGCTTATAATCTAAATAGGGATAATGCAAAGATAAACTTCCCTTGTCAACCAAATGAAGATATCATTGTTGTGTGATTTCATTAGAGTGTTTAATAGCACTTTGCAGTTACTTGAGACAAGCAATGGTAGGCTTAACAAAAGACAATCAACTATGAAGAGAGTTGTTACATTATACTTATACTTGAGTCTGCATTATACTTATTGTAGAAATCAGTTATTGCAATGAGTTGTCTCATGACAAAAAAACAAAAACAAACCATGAATGGCTAGCACTGATTAGCCAGAAATTTGTACCCAAGTTGATAGCAGGAACTGAACCTCAGTTATTTTTT